GAATCAAATTAAAGTCTAATTAGATGGCTTCCTGCAGGGTTAGGTTTGGGAACAGTAAGTGCTCATCGGCCCATATGCAACAGCAAACTTCTTACTACAAATAGCTGGGTAGATTTAAAGTGGTTTAGACCACATTCCTCCCATAGTTAATCACAAAAATATCTTTCACGATAAGTGGACATAAATGTGCCTCTTTATGGTTAGATCTTGCCTTTAACTTACTGACTACATGTGTGCTTACTTGGGCCCTGAGCTCATCACCAGAGGCATTCCCTTTGGCAGAAGCTTGGAGAGCCTTTTCAGTGATGGCTCCTCACTTGTGGAATACTCTCCCAGATGAGATTTGCCTGGCTCCTATATTAACATATTTTCAGTGCCAAGCAGAGACTTTCCTCTTCTTCCTGGCATTTGATTATCAATATTTTTTGCTTTCTTTTTCTTTTTCTACTTGGTTAACCTATTGGTGATCAGGCTTATGCTGTTTATGGGGAGGGCAGTTTTAGTTTGCTGTCTTTTTTTTTTTTACATTTGTGTTATAAGTTGTTTTTGAGACTCTCTTGTCATGAGCAAATGTAAACAAAACAAAACATACAAAAATTCAAACATATATTCAAAGTGCTTGTCAATCACATTGCTTTCATTCAGGAGGTATGTATCATATATCTCATTAAGTACAAAGGCTAAGGGGTTACTTCTTCTAAGAACAAAACCTGACTATTCAGGGAAGGGGCTGAGATAACCTGAACATACAACCCTCCCCCCCAAAAAAAATATTGTAGGTGGTCTAGGGCTTGTACAATGATAAATTACTAAACACTGCACAGTTTCTATGCTGGTTCATATTTCCAGTATTTTTCATCTTCAACACAACTGTGCTGTGCTAGAATTGGCTCCGAGTCTTTACTCATTACCCAGCCTTCCCTAAATAGTTCTAATAGTGAACCATAGAGGTCTTGGTTGGCACCATTAGAAAAGCCTTTCCGGACTGCTGTGGGCAGGGGGGGGGGCAGTGAAGCCAGTTCATTCACCTACACTGGTACTCCCTATCCATTGATATTAAGCAGGTGCCTTCACTGCATTGTTTTCGGCAGTTGCCAAAAACTTCTTTGTTTAGGTAGGTCTACCCAAACTTGTAATTTTATTTTATTTTTTGTGTGTGCATGTGCATGTGTTTATACTTTATATTTGACTTTCTCCAGACTTCCGGGGTGGCGCCATCGGTAATGACGGATTCCCTCTGATACGGAGGGACCAGCTCCACGGAAAACGGGTCTTTCCTGCTACGGTGAAGCGGGGACCCTTTCAAAAATCCCACTTAGGAACCCACTTACGGGCTCCGGAGCGAAGAGGGGGAAGTGGCGCGGTGCTGAGAGTCAACTGTTTCTTCCGTGGAGCAAAGCCGCACAGCCATTGCCGGAGAGCGCTGCCTTTTTCCTGGGACAATTTGGCTTTTAAAACAATCACCCGTGAGTACTTTAATTTCGGACAATTGGACTATAAATAATGACCTGCGAGTAGAAAGGAAAATTGGACTAAGAAATTCATCTCAATTTGGCACTGAAATGGGAAGGTCTAAACAGGAAGTCAGCCTTCCGTTTCTTGTAGATAGATTAAAGCAAAGACATGGCAAACTAGAGTTCAGAAAATCGCTTGTAAAGGATTAACTTTCATCATTTAAAACTGTTGAACCCCTTCGGAAGCAGGAGAAGAGGGGGATTTTTCCGGACTGTTTAAACCTGCAGAAGAGAGTGTAAAGCAAAGTAATTTTCCACCGTCTTGATCCTGGGAGCGGGGTGTCAGGACTGACGTTCATTGGGAAGCTCATTGACCAGAGACAAACGTCTTTGACAGATAGTTAAAAGAAGAGAAACATAGTGATTCCATTGTTCTCCTTCGCATTTTAAAGGAACAAATATTGACAAAATATCTGAAAAAGGAAACTTTGTTGCTAGATCTGCCTTTAAAAGAAAAGAACAAATAGAAGTTCTTCCCCTAGAGGGAGCCTGTGAAACTGTTACTAAATCTGAATCGGGGAGCTCTGCAGCTGCAACAGATTACGATCGTGGGAATAGACTTCTGACCTTGCAGAACAATGTATCCAGAAGCTCTGGTGCATGCTTTCTGCAAAACAAGTGCCCTACTGGAACAGCTACATGAGAAGACGGACTTGATGACTGCTGCGATCAGAAATTTTGGACAGGTAGTGGGAAACTATATAGAGCCCACCCAGGAATCAAATCAGGAGTGTGCTCTGACAGATCAGATGAGGGAAGAGGATGTTGCTGAACCTCGGGCGCCAGAGATGGAGGGAGCTGTGGCCCAGCAGGAACATGAGCTCTTGGATCTGACAAATGAACTTGGAAAAAGCCAGATTTGGAAAGATAAAGTTTGGTTTGGTTTGGAAATGGGGGGTTGGATAGACCCCCCTATGCAGGGATGTTTGGACTTTTCAAGTCTGGCAATGGGCCGTGAGATGTTTGGGGTTGTGGGGGGCTCTTAATTCTGGAGGGACTTTGAAACATGTTTTTAAATACCACATGGAGTTTAGTGTGCAATATGGAAAAGGGACTGATTTGTTGAGAAGGGTCAAAAACACTGTCAAGTTGGAGTGCCCATGAGTGAAAGGAGCAGGCGACAAAGTAAAGTACAGGTATAAATATGAAGAAGACATGGAAGAGACTTAAGGGCCTCGGACATAAGATTACCAAGTTAATGTGCTAGATTGATGGGATAGAAAGGACTGACAAAACCTGGGACCAGGAGGAAGAGACGCTGGATGAAGATTGGAAGATTTTTTTTTTTATTATTAGGATTGCTTTATAAAATTGATGAATGTTAGAAAAATGTTGGAACGAAATTACCTGGCTTTAGCAAAAATGTTAAAAGAATTATGTAAGAATATGTTATGGTTATGAGAAATTGGTATAAATAAGATCTAAGTTTCAAGTTTTAGGGTCTTTTATAGTAAGATAAGGTTAAAATAGATTAAGGTAATGTAATGACAGAATATTATGAAAAATGGAAAGGATTTGCTGTGACAATTAACAACTAGGATACAAAAAAAGGGAGGAGTGAGGAGGTCAAAGAAAGAAGGTAATGACAGTCAAGGATTTGAGAATATTGGACTTGTTTTTTTAAATGTTTGTGGCTTATTTTTGTTTTTTGATTGTGTTGTGCTACGTGCTTTGTTCTTATTTTTTTATTTTGATTTTTATCAATTTGTATTGTTTGATTGTGGTTTGTTTTTCTTCTTTTTTTTCTTTTTCTTTTTTGTTTTTTCTGTAACTTTAAAATTCTTAATAAATACCATTTAAAAAAAATAAATATATTTGACTTTCTCCAGTAATGTTTTCTTCTGGGTTGTTTTATTTGATGTTTTAATGTGTTGCAAACCGCTTTGAGGTTTTTTTTTCTTAAAAACATAAAGTGGTCCAGAAATGAAATGTGTTTTTGTGTGTGTGCATATGAAGGGTTACACTTGGTCCCTGAGATCCCCAGCCCATGTTTTACTGGATTGACTGCTTCGATGGCAAGCTTTCCACACCAACAGTGGTCTTCCTTGGACAGAGCTGGCCACTGTTATATGTAGCACTTCAGAGGCCGTCTCTTATCTCAGTAACCTCTGCACCTGAGACAGGTCCGCATTATCTCCATATTATAGGTTGCATAAAGGCCCGAGGCTAATATACAGCAGTATCCCTCACTCGCCATGTACGCTATGACAGAGGGACTCCCAGTCTCTGGGCTGCTACCCTACGAAGGCCTCTTGCTAAGAGTGGGTCCACAGAGTCAGTTGGGTCATATTAGATGCCTGCCTAGTAGTAGTATTAGACGCCAGGCTAATGGATCCCTTTGTTTTATAGATGGCACCGTGTATTACTTCACTTCCTTAAAAATGCAATAAACGAACCTTGCTGCGTCTGGGGCCTTTTTCTGCAGAATGGGACCTTGAACTTCTGCCCCCAAGTCCTACAGTGAGGGCTCTCTTGACGCCAACAGCCTCAAAACCCAGCCAAGGGGAGATGAGGAAACCTTGAGAGCGACGTTAGCAAACCTCTCCTCGCTGCTCAGCTGCGTGGTTGGGCTCGTTTGCGCGACCCGCTCCGCGAGGAGCTGTCTAGTGCTGAATCGCCTGTCGGGCGCTTTAGCCTTTCTGGTCCTGAAAGCACCCGGACGTGGAACTGGCAGGGCGCTTTCTTCCAAAATAACAACCAGCCTCCCTAAGGCTTCCAGAACAGACACGCTTCGCTCTACCGGAGTTGGCAAATTGCTCTGAGCTCAAGGGAGCCGACGGAGCCACCCCGGCCCTCTGTTTAATCAGGGCTTAACCGGCTTTCTCAATTTCCTCTCCAACTCACGGACGTGAAAGCTTTCCTCCCAACAGCCTTAGAGCACGCCTTTGTCCCCAAGCAGAGCCACCCATCTCCGTTTAAACAGACGTGAACCAGCGCCCTTTCCAGGTCGCGCTCATTCAAGCTTTCCCTCCTGCCAGGGCGGAGCGCGGGGAGGCTTCTCCAGGTCGCCTCGCTCCGGTGGCTGGCTGGGGAGACCCCTCTGACCCGAGGAGATAGTGGAGATAGCGTGCCGAGTGAGTGGTGAGACGGATGACCTCGTGGGTGTCTCCCCTGGTCTCTCCACTCCCCGCCCCTGTTTTCCAGCGGCGGCCCCAGTTCCCAGGCTGAAGGGAAACAATAAAGAGGAAGAAAAGTAGCGCTCGCAGCGCCCTAATGATTGGATGAGGCGCCATTACATCATTTCCCCCCCTTTCCTGGGCTGCCTCGCTGATTTTCTTGCATTGGGGAGAAAAGTGCGCGCGCGCTAGTTAGTAGGAGCGGGAAGCACATCTGGGGAAGAGGGAGGACTGGGTGCCCGCACCACACACACACACACACACACGCCCTCTCCCAGAGCGGTGGCCAGCGGCTTGCCCGAACTCCTTCCCAGCCCCAGGTGGTCAGAGAGGAGTTTGGAGAGCGGGAAGATGCTCCGGAGAACGTCCCATGAAGCGGATCCTGGAGGGCGAGGGCTCCTCCGTCTCCTCTGATCCGCGCCTGCCGCCCAAGTGCGGGGAAATGGGCTTTGAGAACGCCACGGACAAGCGGTGGGGCATGGCTGGTAAGTTTCACTCGCGGAGACGGGCTCTTGCCTTGGGATCGGGGCCGCTGGGAATGCCTTTACCCCTTTAGCGTGCGAAAGGGCTCCAGTAGGTCACCCTCCGAGCTGGCTTTTGTGTGATCTCGATCCCCGCACCCAAACCCGGGGGAGCAAACGAGTTAACCGGATTGAGAGACGGGCATCCGTTTGGGTCGAGCATCCGTTTCCCTGCTGCCTTCTCTGTCCGGTAGGAACCACTGGGGCGCCACGGGGTCCTCCAGCGACCTCTGCTCCGGAGCAAGGACACTCCGGGTACTACTTAAGGAACACTGAGAAGGGGCAAGGTTGGCACGTGGGATCTAAGGAGAAGCGAAAACCAAAGAAACACAACCCACCCCCCAGCCTCTGGGAAGGGGGGGGGTGACATCCAGGAGACGAACATCTGTGGGGAGGGGGAGCACGCGGTTGTGTTCCCTCAAACTTTGCGTTGAGGGACGATCTGGAGCAAATGGAATCACCTTTCTTCATTGCTCCCCCACAAACTTTCCCGAGGTCCATTTGTCTGCAACGTCTATTGCGCGGCTTCTTCTGCTTCATTGTTTCTCTAAGCGTGGTGATTGTAATAACACCCACGAGAAAACCTGGTGCAGGTTGGATGGATTTACCCCTCTCAAACTGGGAATTGTAGAAAGAGTATCTGGGATTCCTACCAGCTGCCCCCAACTCTTGCCTTTGCTCTGGACCAAACGTCCCGCAGCACCGTGATACGTCTGACAGTGGGGTTCACTCACAGCAGTGAATGTAAGGCAGTAGGATGGAGGGATGGACACCAAGGGCTGAGTTCGAACCAGGACCTACCACATGTTTTCAAGCAATGAGTGAGCGGGCGAGAGTTTCTGTGCGAGTGCAGAGTTCATTTAGTTCACTGCTAGAAAGACACCTCCTTCCCCACCCCCAAATATCTGGAGCGATGGGGTGCCGGTTCAAGGTGAGAGGTCTGAGCCGCTCGGCTGGCTTGAACCAGCTGATAAATATGAATGATAAAGAACAGTCCTTTCCCCAACGGGGACGAGGGGCAGTTATACTGCCCTTGTTCCACCCACTGCCCTCCTGCCTTCAGAGTCCTGCGTTCTCCCAAGCTGAAACGAGAGAGAAAAAGCTCTGAGGCAGAGCCCCACGTTCGGGGAGTTGTGGCATCGAATTGCCCTTGTGGCAAAGCCACCTGGCTATGGAAGTTGCGGGAGGATTAACCTGACTTCAGATCCAGCTCCTTTGATTCTGCTGGCTGCAGCATTCCAGGAGCAGGATTCAGGATTATGTAAATGTGGATCGTCCCTCTTGGCTAAACGCGTGCTAATTAGGGGATGAAGAGTTGCAGGGCTTTGTCCCTTTCTCCTTGGTCCTTCAGTGGGCTGGAACTGTGGGGATGCGGGGGTGGGGGGCCTTTGGTCCCACGCAGCAATAAAAATGGAACTGATAAGAGGGACGGCTGTGGGTGAGATATGACCGTGGTGGAGTTGGTTGTAGCTCACTTAATGCAGGCGCTCCAGTTGCTCTGTAACCAAGGCTAGATGGTGGCGAAGTGTAGGTTCTGTCCCATGTTACCAACGGCGACTGTGACTTGATTATTGCTTGCACATTTGCCATCCGTTTACTCGGCACTTTATCCATGAGCAGAAGCAAACTAGGACCCTGCCCCATGGTAGAGCATGAGCCTCTTAATCTCAGGGTCGTGGGTTTGAGCCCCGCATTGGGCTAAAGATTCCTGCATTGCAGGGGGTTGGAATAGATGACCCTCGTGGTTTCTTCCAGCTCTACAGTTCTGTACTCGAACTTTCAACAGTACAGGGGCAACATAAGGGAGAGAGGGAGAAATAAGGTTCATGGTGCGAGGCGAGGCATGGTCGGGGAAGGGTTGGTATAGGGTGAATGTTAGCAAAGTTGTTTTAGATGAAGGACACATACAAGGATGTGATGTGGCATACTCTGTCCTGTTGGGAGTGACCACTGTTCTGGTGACAAGTGTGCGAGAATGTCAATATATGTGCCTGTGAATGATACATTTTGATAGGACAGTAACTCTGAGTCCAGTTTAGGCAGAGTGATTGCTAGGATCTCTGGATGAATTTGCAAGAGTGATGGGGGGGGGGTTTAGTGGTGGAAATGAATCCCCACTAATAGGATACCAACAGGACAGCTTTGCTAGCACCCTGCATTTCAAAAACAAACAAAAGTTGACCTCTGGAACTCAACAGATTGACTCATAAATTGTGAAATTTACAGCACAATTCTATACATCTATTCTTTACTTAGTAAAGTTCAATGCAAGTTGCTGTAGCCTGAAAGACATGCAATATGGACTACTTCCCCTTGCCTTTGCTCCCAAATGACTTGGAGGCATGCTTCTTTTCAAGAATTTCATCAATCCCAGCAGTAATTCCCCTTCTTTGAACTGCATCCATTTATTTTAATGTAGCTTTTGATCCCACCCATCCATGTGGCATTGCCCAGAAGCCCTTTCTTTTCGTTTTGCTCTATACATTGCAGGGTATAAAATGACTCAGAGCAGTGCTGGATAAACAAACAAGACAGAAGTATAACATGATGTTCTAGCTATCACTGTGCTCTCATTGCTGCGCTCCTGTTTAAACAGCAGCTTAATTTGGTGTAATGCTTACATTGTTCATTTCGAGGGCAGACCCATTATGCAAAGGTTGAATTTAGTGACATGAGAGCAAGCACCTCTTGGTATCCGGGCATCAAAGCAGGCACCTGCCTTTCTGTCCTCTTTGCCAAAGAGAGGTCTTTTCCCAGCAGCAAACTGCCTGCATCTCAGTGGTTAATTTCCAAATGAATACCTGCCTCCGAAAGTCTGTAAGTAAATGATGTGGGTCATGATGTACAAAGTGAACGGGTTGGTGAAAGTGAATCAGGTCCCATGTTGCAATCTGATTGAGTTAGATAAGTCACAACTATTCAGATAAAATAATACAAAAACACCTGGCGTCTCCCTCTCCTATTTGCGCTGGGGAAAATTGAAAACACATTTTTCTTATTAACGAAATGCCATATGCATGCAAAAATAAGTGTCCGTGTGATGCTCATCTAGAAGATATTTATGTACGGTTGGGCTAATTAAAGATAAATGGAACCTTGACTTACCAGAAATAACCCAGATTTGATGATGTTTCAAATAGCATGGAGTTTTTTTAAAAATAGGGAAAAAAACAATGGTTGTTAAATGCTGAAGTCAAGATAGTTCAACTTTTTCAGTGCATGTGCTGAACTGGTATTTCCTGAACTCTGGATTTGCATATGGTTCAAGGCATCTGAAAATATACATTGAACCAGAATGCGGGGGTTGGGGGTTGGAGAGGCAACTTTAATGTACTGGACCATTCTGAAGCTTGGTTTAACCATTGCAAATCTGATGAAAAAGTCAACTCCAGCATGTTACAAGTGCTACAGCCAAATGACGGCCTGCCCTTCAAATGCTGGAAAGGCAGCAGGGATGAGGAACCTATTGCTTTCCAGATGTTGTTGGACAGCAACTCATATCATCCCATGCTGGCCGGGGCCAATGGGAGTTGGAGTCCAACAACACCTGGAAAGCAATAGGTTCCTTGCCCCTGATTTGCAGCCTCCTGACCAGTCACAGTTCATACAGAGCATATTGCTTTCATACATGCATATACTGCTTGATTGCAAGAAAAATACTCAAAGCCGTTTATCTGCACCAGATACTTATTTTGGTTTTATACTGTTGTGGCTTCTCATAAACAATACTGGGAAGTGTGATTAGGAGAAGTTGTGGAGAAGTTTCCATTACCTATTTCTAGCCCCCTGCACAGAAAGGCGGATCCCAAAGTTCTTTGGGGAAAACACTGCTAAGCCAATAAAAACCTGGCACGTGTGCCTGTAACTTACAACGTTTACACAGCTCATGCTGATTGCGAGAACAAAGAGGAGGCTCCTATGTCAGGGGAAACGGCCACTAGGAGTTCTAGCTTTGCAGGAGTAGGGATGGTCCCTCTCGGGGCAGGTGGGGAATTCGTCCTCCAGCTTATTGAAACGCACCCATTGTCAAAGGAAGACCTATTGACAAAGAAAGGGATGCCAGTCCCATTCTGGGAATATCATGTCTGTTTCCGTAAGAGGCTCCAAATATGCTGTCTAATTGGTAGCTTCTTATAAGGTAGTTAGTTAGGTAATTAGTGTGGAAGTCAGTAGGGCATAAAACTCATGCCAGCAGTGGAAAAGGGTAGCTACGTGCAGGTAAGGATGGGAGGACGGACACTCTTGAAGTTAAGCATATGCCTTCTAATACATGGATCAAGCCAGAAAGGCACAGCCTCGGAATGCCCTGCTGTAAGATTTTGGTGGCATTTAGAAGCACGGCTCTTGAACAGAAACATATGTCACGTGGAGGAGTTAATATTGCCATGAAAAGTGCTCCTGGCATTGGCTTTCTTTGTCTGACTTACAGTTCACAAAGTCTATACAAACTGACAGAAGATCCAGACAGTCACAATATGATCTTGAGAGAATATAACATTTAAGGGGTTTGATGCATGGGTGCCGTAGAGGCTGGCTCTGTGAAAACGAGGGCTAATGCAATACACTTAATAGGTTTCCTTGGTTTAGATGTATACTGACCTCAATGGGCGACCGTGGTTTCCTTTAACTACAATTCCTTTTTAATCTAAATTTAGAAATGACGTATCGTTGGCGTGGTTCAGTAGAAAAGGGCAATGTTTTCATGCTAAAACATGCCACCTGCTGCAGTCTATTAATCTGTTCAATTAAGTTATCTGAGGGTCTTGAGACTTCCAATTTAATTGACAGGAACGGGATGGGCTAGTTCTTGCTTGCAGTTTGTTCCCTTGCAATGCAGGGTCAAAAGCAACACATCATTAATATAAGGCATTTGAATTATCTGCAGAGTGTGCGTGTGGAGGGGAGGAATAAGGCATAAGTCAAACTTTGCATGAACATAGAAGCTGTTCACACAAATGACAGTTTATGGATCAAGCCGCTTCTGCATGTAAGAACAGGGGAGGGTTTTCATGTGTTACTGAAAAAAAGTCTTCCATTCAATTTCAGCCTAAAGAAAGCAGGTTGGTGGTGAAAACTTCTGCACCCTCTTTCATGAATTTTATTTTTTTACAAAAGCAGTGCTGTTATGGATAACTAACTGGGGCCTTGTTGGTGGGCTTTTGGCTGCCTAGGATTGCTGTGTGTCTCAGCTGCAGATTGAGCTTTCCTAGCTTGTTGTCCATAAGCAACTTTGGAACTTTCAATACAAACTAGAAAGTCCATTGTTCCGAGGCTCTGTTCAGCCACA